GCCTGTTCTCACACGGCTAGACAGACAAATGAACTTTTGAAGGTGAACAACGTTGACCTTATGAGCCAGTTCTCAGTACTCAAAGTATATTGAGAGAAAAATGCCTTGAATTGGAGAATAGCAAAATCAACCATTTAAATAATTGCTCTTTATAATAAAACTTAATTGCTATTTATAAAAATTAATCATCATGCGTGAACAGCCACCCTTGGAGGTGGATGATTTTCTTCAAAATTAAATGGACCACTATGGAGGTACCCTCTTTCGAATAAAAAGAATCATGAAAATCGGTTTCCAAATACGGGAGTTATCGCGTAACATACATACAAAAAAAACATACAGTCGAATTGAGAACCTCCTCCTTTTTTTGTCGGTTAAAAAAAGCTGTAAATGCAAGATGGAGCTTCAAAACCCTGACAGGTGGAGTTTCAGCGATATAATGAAACAGTTTTATTAGTATTCTTAACTATGGAAAATTTATATACGGGTATTTTATTAACGGGTATTAATAAAAACTTTCGAGTTGTTGAATCTCTTAGAATATTGCTAAATATTTGTTAATAAGCTTTATATTTTCTAAGGCTGAAATTTAAAAAGCAACTTTGATTAAAGAAAAATGGCGTTCTAGGCAAATTTTTTTCACTTAAAAAACGAACTTTACCTAAGTTTGGAACCTAACCTAAAAGAAATGAGAATGCCTAAGGCTCGTTCCTTAAGATTCATTGTAGGTGATTAAAAAAAAGGAAAAGGTAGGCCTAAAACCGTCTTTACAGCTATATAATTTTAATATTTTTTTTCTATATATATATATAATATATCTTTAAATTCCACGTTTTATAATTAGTAGTACTTTTTACCTGAAATACAGGAATTTCCTAGTTCAGATACATGTGTTAGTTTTACATTAAATCGCATACGTAGTCTTTAGTTTTCTCTGTACATTATGTTACTGAATAAACAATTTTATTTATTAATTTTATTTATTTATTATTTATTAAATAGTAATGGACATGAAGTTTTACAATAAGGGGAGGTGATTTGTGATTTATGGGCACGTGCTCTCGTGACAAGAGTTTTCCACGGCCCGTGGACACGCGTGTCGCGCCGTGCGAGCTCGTACCAACGCGCCGTGGGGAGGGGGCCGCAATGGGGCCGCAATGGGGCCGCCTGACCGCGTCCCCATGCCCGTGCAGGCCCGTCGGGTCCGCCGCGTGTTGGCAACTTGTCGCGACGCGAGAGCACGTGTGTATTTTACGATTATTCCTTATTCGACAACGTTAATTTGAACGATTAGTATGAATCGGTAAGTTAAACTATATACCTACAGTTCAATAAAATTTTAAGAATTTATCTCGAACTGCTCTTGTTGAATGATAACAGTCATTGGCGTCTTTTATTCTGGTTCTTTTGTCCAGTTACTTGTATCCACTGTACACAAATGGCTGCAGAAATAGCATACATGATATTTTTGGATGGCAGGTCAAATCTGATTCAACTCGACACACACCAAAATTCGCGCAACATGCGCTGGCCCATGGCCACCTGGACTCGCCTGCGGCGCGAGCTTGCCCATACAAATGGCAGACGTGGCATGGTGCGACCGTTGAATTCACGGGCCGTGGGAAACCAGCACAAAGGACCGTTTACACAGGCCAATCGATGAGCTATTCAATTAAGTCAAGCCATTATTGGCGTCGTGTAAATAGAGACAATCCATTATGGAGTCTCTCCAGACCAATGAAAAAGAGAATCCACAAAATTAGAACGTTTTCTTTTTTTCGAGCCAATATTTCCCCTACCACACGTGTGAACTTGTATCCTGAGCCACTCCGTAATTTGCCTTGCCGTTAGGTACAAAAACTTATTGTAATCTGGCTGTAGTGTAGATGGACGTCGCAAATTTTGCACTTTTCACTAGATTGACTTAATATCTTGACTTGAAATGGCTCGTCAACTAACCCCGTGTAAATAGGCCATAAGAATAGTGAAAGAAAAGAGAATTAAAGAATGATCCAAAATTATTAAAATAAGTGGCCAGGAACCAGAAAATAAGATGCTTATGTAGGGGGCCAGCATCGTCACAGGTTCAAGCAAAAAAAAACGAAGTAAACTCAAAGTTTAATTACTTTCTTGCTTAAACTTAGGCAAAGTTCGTTATGTAAATACGGGAAATCTTCTTTAGTAGAAATCTTCTTAGTCGAAGTCAATTAATAAGTCTCAGCTTAGGCTTACATTTTATTTATCCAGAGTCAAGGAATGGTAATAAATCATTATTAAATTTTTTGTATTCTGTGCTTGGCAGATGAACAGGCATCTGCCAAGCACTTCTCAAAATCATTTTTATGAATTATTCAATACCAACGCTGACTGTATCTGCCAAAGGTATTCGCTTTGTAACGCGAAAATAAGTGTAACGTAATTCATCTTGTATTCGCTTATTAAATTGGCACTGACAATACAAGCAATTCTTTTGTTGAAGCTATACAAAGCAAATATATTTTTAAATTTATTATTTGAAGGAGATAAATTATCAACCGTATTTTGAAATTATCAAAGTCATACTTGTCCAGCAATTGCTTATTTCCTGCTCTATACAATTTTATACTATTAATATTCTTTAGTTACGACGTTACAGTCGATGAACAGAAGTGTCACCTTTTATATGCCACCACTTATATATACTTGTCGAAATGCGAAAACGCTCCAATGTTGAAATGCTTTATCGAAAACGCCTTAACGGATTTAAATACGACAAATGAACGAGTGTGCACGCTTGCTACTGTGCCACTGAACAGAACGCCCAAATGTACTTTGTAAACGCTGTTAAGCCCGCGATACATGTTGGCCGAGCCCAGGCGAGTGAAGGCCAATGCCTACGTGCAGACAGCCTATTTGCCTTGCTTTGCCTCCGCTCGGTGTCGCTCGCCTAGCTAGCCGAGTGAAGGCGAGCACCAACGTGTATAGGGCTCATTCGGCGTGGCTTGAAAAGAAGAAAAGGTAAATCAGTGAAGTGTAAATAACAGGGATTTTAGTGACTTAGTACAGTATAGTGACTAGATACAGTAAATTAGTGCCATTTTGGACTGTGATTAATTGAAGACTTTTAATTGTTGCTACTATTACATAAGTTGATTTACTTAAATTCTAAGGCTGTACTGCAACTGTGTTTCTATGTTCGAGAATATAGTGACTTATTTTTCTGGTTATCGAGTTTTAATAATACCACCGGTAAGGGTGACTCGTGGATACCGGCACCTATAGACGCTAGAGGCCGGATTCAGTAGCGTTCCACGTGTCACATACACGCGAGTACGGGCGAACGGTCCTGCGTATAGGCACGGTCTGGTGAAAGCGGCATAGCGGCACATGTTTGTGATTCGTATCAGAGTTACAGATATTGTCGCACCATCCACCGTCGTGCACACCTAGTGCAGGGCTATGTTGAGTGTGTACGTTATTATTATTATTTATTACTTACATAAAACATAATTTATTACGTAAAACATAAAAAGACAACCACAGCTGCAGGCCTCACTACAAGGCAAAAAATCTTAGTACTCACCTTGCCGAAATCACACTGGTATTGAAAAGATCTAGATCAAATATTGACTTACAAATAAATGGACGACGGGTCTAGTACAAAAACCACGAAAAAAGTCCCAAGTTAACATATTTAAACGTAGTGACATGTAAAGGAATATGAAAAAGCTAAAACGTTGAATTTAAATAGTAATGTCATCGCAGTACTGTCTAATTTTGCTTGCTTCGCTGTCAGAAGAAACAAACGAGGACTAAAGCGTGAATGACGCTCTGTATACAATTTTAACGCCCTATAAGTTCGGACACTTTTCAGCGCGGACCCGACGTCCATATAATTGTAAGTCAATGAGATCAAAAGAATTACATCATCATCATATCAGAAAAAAAAACGTCCCAAAAGATTACCACACTAGCCGATCGGACGCGACGTGCATACTTCGGTTACCCGCCGCCTTTACCAGGTCGTCCGTCTATCTGTAGGGGGCCGTCCCATTGAACGCCTCCCGGTTCGTGGTCTCCATTCAAGAACCTTTCTGCCCCAATGGCCATCAGTTCTACGAGCTTTGTGACCTGCCCACTGCCACTTCAACTTGCTAGAGCTATATCGGTGACTTTCGTTCTTCTACAATGCCGATCATTGCTCGCTCAAAATTATTACATAAAATGTTAAAATTATTGCTTGCATGCCCCACAAACTCTTTTTGTCTGTAATTAGTACGGTATGTGTGAATACATTGACAAATCGGGACTTAATCGTGTATGAAACATACTTTATGTACAATCAACAGTAAAAAGTTATTAACAGATTTTGTTCGCAGAATCTGTAAGCCTATCTCCTGAAAAGTTGTCATTTGGCATTATCACTAAGGGTGTGAATTGTACCATATACATAGAAATAAACACAATCTGTTACAATTATTAATACAAATATCGAACACTCAACTCGAAAAAAATCGATCCGGCCGGATTCGAATCGACGTTTTCTAGTATACCCGGCCAGACGAACCAGCGGACCTCACGAATTTTGTTGTCGCGTTTTTATATTTTGGTTTTTCAACGACTTTTTAGTCGTAGCACCATCTGTGAGAAATCTATGAAAGTTTTATCACCCAGTTCACCTACCCTGCCCTGGCGAAAGATGTCGCTATTCACTGTATTTTAAATTTTTTAATGAATTAATATTCAATTATTTTATGTGAAATTCCTTCGATCCAGCCGGATTCGAACCGACGTCTTCTAGCATACCGTACTGTGTTCGTTCCGTGGCTTAGTTGGTATAGCGTCACGCACGATATGCTAGAAGAAGTCGGTTCGAATCCGGCCGGATCGAAGGAATTTTTTCTGAGTGTTCGATCTTTGTATTAATAATTGCAATAAACTAGTGGAGTAATGTCATAAAAAAATAATTGAATATCAGTTCCATAAAAATTTTAAATAAACACATTTGTTTTTGTTTTCAGGTTATGCAATGACGTTGTATCCAAACGGAACCACACTTTAAAGCCTAGAGTCGTGCTGCCAGAAAATTATGTCAAAGGTATGTAAGGAATAATAATCATAACTTTTTTATATGAAAAAAAAAAACGAACTCAAACTCAGGCCACACAGAGACGGTATAGTGGGAAAAGCGGTCCGAGGGCGAACCTGCGGGTAAAGAATGAATACCGGGGCGTGCCACCACAGCAGTCCCAAGCCTAGTTTGCAGCGGAATAGAATAAAAATACACTCAAGAGTTGTAAAAAAATACAACGTTGAAGCCCGCTAAAGCCCCGCGTTCGCCCCGGGTCCGCCCTGCTCCCGGGCGCCCTTTTTGTCACAGCAATTGGCCCCAGACCGCGTAGCCCCGCCGCGCGACCGCTATGCGTTTCAGCGTGGCTGACAAAGTTTATATGAATTCATACATTACAAAAATTCGCACGTCCGGAACGCATTCGCGACTGCTTCTGTGTGGCCAGAGCATCAAGAGTTTGCTTATCCGCTTTCGCTGTGTTCGTTACCACGATCTTCTCAACAATAACTGAAACGTATATTATGGAAAACCTCGTCAAAACAAATCGTTTAAATAAATCAAAGTAGCAGTGGACAAAGTACAATGTTGAGTGATTCATCTAATCTGCCTGCCATTTCCATCGTCAGATCAGCTCTAAGTCAGTCAAATCTTATTATCTAGAATTTCAACCTTAACTCGTTGAACTTAATTATCTCAAGGCTCCTTAAAATTAAGTGTATGAGCAAAATACTTTATAGTAAATTTTGTGAACACAAAATATGAAATGACATACTTTATTTTGCTATAACATATATTATTATTTTAGGAATATTTTTTTATAATTTTCAGTTGTTTTTAATCATTCCGGAATTTCAGAGGGAGGTATTATCGACTTTGCATATATTACTTGAAATTTAGGTTATAATATTGACCTTTGGGAATTAACCACTGACAAATATGGTTGTATATGTAAAGGTCTTAAATTCTTAACTGGCTACTTTAAGGGAAGTTCAGAATATGAAACCAAAATACCTACTATATAGAATTCTATGTTGTCCTTACATTATAATAATGAATCGAACTACGCAAAGAAAAATTCCTTGTATATAACTGAATTTGAACCAACGTCTGTTGCCACACTAAGGCTTTCATGTATCTAATATTAAATCTATGTCATCATGGTATTTAATAAAATAAATATTGCAATTAATATAGCGACATCTCTTGTCAGCAGTAAAAGTACCTGCTGATGGCAAAATAGCCATTTCAACCCAATACAAAGATCTGCAACAAGCATATAGAGAAATATTTGCAAGACCTGCTGACTCAGTTTATAGCTTACTTGGTAAGAGAAGGGTCCCCGGTGTGCCAACAGACGCTAGTTCTAGTCAGACCGGAGGAATTTTTCATTGTGTTGTTCGATCTTAGTATCAATAATGATAAAGCTGCTAACAGATTAACTGCGGTTTGCGTGTTAATGCGTGAAATCTTGATCGCGGCTATATGAAATTGATTACGTCACGCATTAACTGATCGGTATTGACTGCATGCAGTTAATACGTGAAGTCATTAACCAAAAACTCGACTGCTTGAAGTTGATAACGACATTAACTGCAGGCAGTATAACCAACTTCATGCAGCCGAGATCGACTGCATGCAGCTAATGTGTGAAGTCGTTATCAACTTCATGCAGTCGTGGTCGTGGAAGCAATCTATTAGCAGCTTAACAAACTAGTATTTAAAAAAAAATCATTGTCGTAAATATCTTGGTGTCCAATAAATATAAAAAAGTCATATTTGTACTTCTAAATTCACTATTGTACCGCACACGTTAAACTGTTTATTTATTTATGTATTTATTAAGGAAATCATACATTCTTATACACATCTTACAAGCAATATATTAACTTACTAACAAACCAGGTTGTTCCATTAAATAGTACAAGTATTACAAAATATGAGTTTGTACAATAGACACCTATCTGAAATACACATACACAAAACAAATAAGACAATATATTGTAGATACTTAGTAATTAATTAAACCTGTCACAGAGGTTTTAGTTTATTCACGGGGTCCTCTGTTAAATATAATATTTCCAATTTTTTTCTTGTAATTCGTCAATGATAACAAAAACGTGTCGTTGTCTTTCAACTTCTCATTATAGTACTTAGACGAGGGGCGAATAAATGTGTTTTTGGCGTAATTCGTAGAACAAGGGCAACAAAAATGTATTTTTGGTACGGGAGGAGATTTTAGGAATATTAAACTTAATTAATTGTAATAATAAAGCAGAGTCTGTACTACCGTTCACTATTTTAGGAAGAAAAATTTACTGTTATACGACTTCTTGCTACTTATTAAGTGTCCTCCCGAAGGGGATAATCTCGGATTTGTGTTTATCGTTCTTTAGCAGGGTCCGAAGTGATAATGATCTACATAAATAAACCATGTAATTATCTTGGTATTTGTAAAACATGTTGGAACAACAAAAGTAGCATTTTGCCACTAAAGTACCATGTTATGATGCCGTTTTAACGTTTGTCCGCTCATCAAGTTTCGTATTAATTCATAATCTACGTTGAAGGAGTTTTCAATAGTGACTTGCAGTTTTAAATTTTTGTATATTTGTTGTAAATTTATGGAATGTGTAATTTTACGACACAACTTGGCATTTATTTTTCGAAAATAAATGCCAAGTTGTGTATTTAAAAAAAATAAATCTCTATTTAATACGGTCGTCACTTAATAGGATCGCTGTCCAGCACAACTTCTACCTCCGGCAAACTCGCGTCAAAGCTATTAAGTAAACATTTTAATTTTCGTTAAGCTTTTTAATCAGCTACCCCTTGCAATATAGTTATAAATCTATGTATTTATATATGCGACTCTCATTTGATTAGATTTTTTCGGATAATGAGTTGAGATTTGACCTCACTATTGTAATCTGTCAACACGGCCATCTTATTCCTTTTCTTTATTCATGTGATCATAGCGTGCCGGTACTTGTCGTGCTATGTGTTTGTATTAGAGACGTATCCAAATATCAATATCAAAAAAAGTCATCAAATTTTTTTTCGTTTTTATTCAGTTTTCTCACTGTTCATCACTGTTTAACATGTTTACTAATAACGTTTCTATTTAAAAAAACCGACGTCAAAAGTTCGCGGAATTACATCTATTTGCCAAGTTTTATTGAAAAAAATTGTCTTTATTCATATAACTTTAGTGTGTTTTTCTTATAATGTGGCGTTGCAATAAATGGTTTCTCTATTTCTATTTCTAAATCTGTTTACTTAGAGGTGGAATATTTTCTTCAAATTTAAATGGGACCACTTCTGAGGTACCCTCTTTCCAACAAAAAAGAATCATCAAAATCGATTCACAAGTATTAATGAAAATGATTCAGCATATTATACATATACTAATATGTATAATATGATATGAGTTATCAGATATGTAATGATTAAAGAAAAATTGATATAAAAACTTAATTTAATTATTAATACAAAGATCGAACACAGAAAAATTACTTCGATCCGATCAGATTCGAATTGACGTCTTTTAGCATACCGTGTCAGACGCTATGCCAACTAAGCCACGGAACGAACCAGAGGACCTCACGAATTTTTCTATGTGCTTGTTTTTTAATCTTTGTATTTGGTTTTCACCTATTTTTAGCCGTAGCGCCGTCTATGAGAAATTTATGAAAGTATTTCTTCTTAATTTAACTTAATTTAATTCTGATTCCAGAAATGCGTCCTCCGGCGCGTAAAGGTCAACCAGTAATCGTAGAATTCAGCATTTACGTAGTCGACGTCAACTCTATTAACGTTGAAGATATGGATTTCAGGTGAATGAATTATTCCATGTATGAGTTACCCATTCGCGGAATGGTCTAAACGGAATGCATTTCAAATGGATCGTACTACGTGTCGTGGTATGGCACGCAATATTGAGTCATGTGCACGTACATTAATATGCATTTCATGTCTACAACATACACTCTCTCCTCTCTCTCTCTCTCACACACACACACACACATACACAACACAAACAATAGTAAAAAAACTAAAAAACTGACCTGAAAAGTTCGTGGAATTACTGCCATTGTTTATTGAAATCGGTTACGCATCGGGAAAAGTGCGCAAACCCGGATTCTCCATAAGGGACTTGACACAGTAGATAATAAAAATCGGGTATCACTGCTTAAAGTATATTGAGAGAAAAACCCTAAATTGGAGCGTAGCTAAATCAACGATTAAAATAATTGCTCCTTGTAAAATTTAGGCGCTATTTATAAAAATAAGTCTTCATGCGTGAACATTCCCCGGCCGTTGAAAGCTTGCCTTTCAACCAGTAATACTTGCTACAGGAAGTGGACAAATTTTTTAAAAGGATCTTCTTGCAATGCCTGTACAAGTTTTGATATCTGCCACTTTATTGACGCGATCATTGCCAGGAAACACGAGTTGTAGCTCGACCCAATTTCCATTTTAACGGTGGTAGTTTCTCCGCCTTTAAAACTGCAAGAGCGTTCATCTTCAATGCGTCTTTACAAGTACGCCATTTAGTCCTCAGTTGAATCTCTGAGACATATTCTTTGCTCCATCTGCACCAAAAATGTTGTCGAAGTTTTTTAATTTGCTGGGAACGATTGAAGCGATTGTTTGGCACATCTTGATAATCCTAGCTTGGCAACGAAGTGAACAGTCTACCGATGATGAAATATCCTGGTGTCAATGGCGTTAGGTCTTCCGGATCGCTCGAGAGAGGGGTAAGTGGTCGTGAAATGAGGTTTACTTCAATTGCCTAAGTGGCCGAACGGTTACTACGCCGGATTGCCACGCAGAGGTCCCAGGTTCGATCACGGGCCGGGAGAAATATTTTTATGGCCTACATTTCGTGGCTTTGATGCTAAACGGCCGCATAGCAAAAATTCGCTTTCTGACAGGAGAGCTTGTCAAAGTTTTACGCTAGGTTTAAACCAAAGCCGTAAAAATGCATATAAGGCACTTTAGCATTAAAAAAAGAACTCAATATCTTTAAATTATTTCAATTATTTTAAAATATTTTATAAAAAGACCATAAATCATAGTGAGAAAGGCATTTGTTAAGTTTATTAAATTATTTCTAGAAGCTCCATGTGAAGCTTGACAAATAAAAATAGACTCATAACTAAAAACATACTTCAAAAACAAAAAAATAAATAACATGAGAATATAAAACACTCTAAACCTGAAATTAGTCTCATTTATGGCACTTTTGGCAAAATTTAAAATGTTACGTATAATAATTTCTGTATTAGGAACTATCAGTTTTATTGAGATCAACTACTAAATGCGTAAAGTAAATACTAACATGTTAAACTAAAAAAAACATGCTTTAACACATAACATAAGAATATAAAACACTCTAAACCTGAAATTAGTCTCATTTATGGCACATTTAGCAAGTTTTAAAATGTTACTTATAATATGTGTATTAGGAACTATCAGTTTTAATGAGATCATCTACTAAATGCGTAAAATAAATACCAACACGTCAAACTATAAAAAAACATGCTTTAACACATAAAATAAGAATAAAAAACACTCTAAGCCTGAAATTAGTCTCATTTATGGCATTTTTGGCAAGTTTTAAAATGTTACTTATAATTTATGTACTAGGAGCTATCAGTTTTATTGAAATCAACTTTTAAATGCGTAAAATAAATACTAACACGTTAATGTTATTCATTTAAATATCACATTTTCCTTCTCTTTCCATTTAAAGAAGCCAGGTCATCCCACCTGTCAAGTATAAAAAACAAAGTAACAATTAGTTACGAAGCATTTTATATTAAAGATTAACTTAAAAAGCTTATGTGTAAAGATCAAGGCTATGTTGATTGTCTGAAATGGAATCTGAATCACATAAATCATTTCAATGTGCTTGATCTTCATCATCTTCTTCAATTATCATCAGCGATGCTTTGATGTTCGTTGCTCTTTCACCTTACCATTATGTAGAATAAAATAGTAGTTAAATCCATTATTTAGAACTATAGTAAAGAACACAAAGCAACAAGGTAAATGTATTAAAAAAGAAATATAATAAAGCTAAATATTAAATCTAATACTTATTCGGTTCGCTGAGATACAGGTTCGGCTGCAGAGGCTTACATAAATAGCAATGTACAAATTTCTTAGCCTTATTTTATAATTGATTATGTGTATACAGTCCGTACATTTTGGTTTAAAGCAAATAAAAATTATAATTGTTGCAGTTTAGTTTTTTTAAATAATAGAAACATCGTCTTTAATTCCATAATGAATTAAAAAGCAGGCACATATCAAAAATATCATTACAGCAGATAAAGATATAAACCTGTTAGGAGCATTTTTTTCATGCAAAACAGGCACATTGCAAATACGACACTTTTAGTTTTTTACAAACCCCATAATCATTTGTAACATACATTATGCAACACAGCCGCATCGCTAAATGTAATACCTTCGCTATTAAAAAAACATAGAACTTACCTGAATTTTTAGATCGAAACGGACGCAATCCAAAATTAGGCACTTTGGACTATAAAAAGTTGTTGGAATGTAAAAGCGTTTTCGCGAGACGACCCTTTTGCTCCATATTGACGTGCGCTTGCGCCGGTTGCCGGGACGCAACTCACATAATGACCGCTTAGTTCTGCAATGAGCCACGAAAGTGCTAAGTGCTATACAGGCATTTGCGTTACTTCGTTATTTATAATGCAAAATCGTTAGATGTCTTTGTGGAATATTGAAATTTAACCGTTTTTAAACACAATTTTCCAATAAAAACGATTAAAATTTTTTCGTGATGCGGCCGCTTGGCATTAAAGCGACGATTTACTTATCTCGTGAGTTTAGTTGTAATTTGTGAGTGTCCATAGCACCTGCGACACAGGGTTTCCCTAGTGCGGGGCTACGTTGAGTGTACGCGTTATTTATTACATGCTAATTTAAAATAAATAAAATTTACAATTGCCCAACACTCTGTGTAAATGATATTTGGTTGATTTTACACCAGCCTCCCATAGACCTCCGAAATGTTGTGAATAAGCTGGAATAAAAGAGAAATTTATTTCTTCATTGGCGACCTCAGACGACAGCGAATCAAGACAGCGAAATAATTACCCCCCTGGGGGGTTGATTCACAGAATCAAACTGTTACGATATCGTAGCGATTTAGTCGTTAAACTTGCTTTTTCGTATTCACGTGTGACAGTGAATGTCAACGAGTCCAATTTTAAAGTCGTTCGATCCAAATGTCGTTAAATCGTATTCTGGTCCCTACATGATTCGAACTTGAATCGACTCTAAACGACAATTCATACGTATTCTGCTAAAATTTTGACAGTTCTTTCAATAGAATTTCGACGACAAATGTCAAATTTCACAATCCAAGATGTCGTTCATTAGTCGTTACGTTTCGATTCTACTCGATACCCAAATACCAATTTTGGATAGGACTTCGATCGAACGACTACGTAACTTCAACGATATTTTGATAGCTTGAACTTACGTGAATCGAACTACTGTGGTATGAAGGTGTGCGTGATAACACAAAATCTATTTTCAGAGTGGACATGTTCATCAGACAGACATGGAGGGAAAGCAGACTTCAACTACCAGAAGACATATTCGAAGAAGGAGACGACCACGTCACTCTCCCACCGGAATTCTTCGACAACTTATGGCATCCTGACCCTTACTTCTTAAACTCCAAAGTTACAGGTGAGTTGAGCATATAACTTGAAACTTCGTTCAGACTAAACGTATGAACTTGTAATAACTGACAACTGATTATAAACATAACACATTTAGGAAATGAAACTATTTTTCCGGATTTAAATCGCGTATATGTGCATGTTCTTGTGTTCTTGTGCATGGTCACGGTTGACTGCCATGGGACCTGTAAAGGGCTCGAAACGTCGGTTTGTTTGAAAAAACAAATATACGCGATTTAAATCCGGAAAAATAGTTTCATTTCCTATGTGTAACAATCGCGAAAACCTAAGAACTCGATACATAATATATTTAATCATAACAAACTCATCATAAGATCACCACACTTATTAAAGCAGAATCGTATTGATTTATTTTTATTTTATTTTATTTATTTATGTTCAGGTCACAGAAGACCCATAAATACATGCCTTATTGACTAAGATACATAATAATATAATAAAATATTAACACTGTGACGACGTGTGACGCAACGTGGGTGTCCGGTAGCCGTCCTCGAAAATGTCGGAACATGACACCCGAGTTGGTACTCTCACCACAAATTAATTAAAATTCACGTTATTATTATTATGGCGGGACTTCAACTGCTCGATTCTCAGGGCAGCATTGGCTTTCACCCCCGTATGTACTCCAAAATATCCGCAGACTTTGTGGAGTAACGCAGTCGTGACACGTATAGCAACGTCGTCGATACCGCTGGATGCAATAAATGATTGGGGCCTGTCGGGGCGGTGGCACTAACGTTGCGGCGGGCTTACTTCTTTTTTTTCCCACCTTTTTGAAACCGTCCTCGTCGCACTAGTTTACTCGACTCCAGAGATGAATTTCCGCTTAAGCCGGTCAGAAAAAGCTTTATGTCCATGAACGTAAGAGCGAAAAAGACGTTCTGCGTTTCGCATCGGTTCGTATGAATGCGTCTCGACACAAGTCGGCAACGAATCAGCTTCATACGAATTTCCGATCGCGTCCGTATGCATGTCGACGACAACTGATCCTATTTTAGAAAGAAATTGACGCACGAACGGCCGCGTCAAAGGCGAATGTGACAAGTGTGGTTAAACATGATCGCATCCAGACGATTCCGCGTTAATAAGTTTGGTGATTCCCTAAGGCCGATATTAGCAGCGCGATGGCATTACAGTGTGGTATTACTGTTTTGATCCAAACTATACTCATAGATATTATTAAAGGCATGCCAAAAGACGTTGAATTATGACAACAACGTTCCACTGACCACATGTACCAGAAAGTGTAATCGAAACCAAAAGACGACTGCAGTCATTCTTTTTTCTTTCATCATCATTTCAATCATTATCATTCAAATTACAGCTATAACGTCATAATGTTAAGGTATATTACTATTCCCCACCTAAAAATCCCATGACGTCCTGTCCCGCCAGGGGGCGCTCACGCCCATGCGATGCATTTGTCCAAAATTGAACTCCATGTCACGTACTATGAAAAAGTTAAAACAAAGTGTAAATCTCAGCGTATTATTACATAGCCGAAAGTTTGAGTTCAAATGTGCAATAAGCTGTGAGTGAAAAAACGCATAACACACACGGCATAGCAGCCGCTGTACTTCATGATACACTGCGCCTTCCGCCTCCTGCTGCGGCCTGTTATCCTATTTAAAAGATTACTCACATCCACACTGAAGCTTCTGCAAGTGGCACGTAGTGAATTATCATGCTTAATAAACAAATTCCTCAGAGCCTTATTGATAAGCCCCTAAATCGCAAATTAGGTCCTTTGTAGGAATTGAACAGATCTTGCCTAAAGTAAATTCAAAAGTCGCAATTCATTCGGTGTACCAAATCTAGAATTCAAATGAAGATTTGCTAATAGATCATTGTAGTCTTTAGATATAATACTGATGGTGTAATTACTAAAGTTCGGAATTGGCAGAGTATATTTGTCTAAAGTTCAATATAGTAAATTATTACTACCTTGAACTTTAGACAAATATACTCCCTCTGAAATTGAGGAATTATCTATTGTTTTGTTATAATATGTGGGGTTTGCACGTTGCCTAACAGGTCAACAATCAATCTTCAATCAATTATTATTACTATATATTATATAATATACGTATAATAATAATAATATCATTAACGATAACAATAATTATAATATTTATGATGCATGTGTTATAGGGCTCTCACCCCGGAAATGTCGGTCTCGAAAATTTCGCGAGTCACTACAATTTTTTGGTATTTTCAATACTTGCAACTACTGTTGGGTAAAGTATTTAAACAAACTGCCACCTATGGGATGGTTCTGCTACATACCAACTGGCCACCTTGGATTCAATCGACAAGCGTACAAAGACACTTATAGGTGAACCGGAATTAGTAGAGGCGAAGCTGCAGAGCCTTGAACTACGCCGTAAAGTTGTCTACAAGATATATCACGGAGAGTGTGTGAGGGAATTACACGAATTAATTTCGCCTTCCCCTTTACATCACCGGGGGACCAGACCTAGGCTGGGGTTCCACCCCTATTCTATGAATATTCCAAGGATTCGCACGAAGCATTTCGCTTCCACATTTATAATGGCGAACGGCGATGGAGTGGAATTCCCTGCCTGCAGACTTGTTCCCTGAACGTTATAACTTGGACCTTTTCAAGGCGAGAGTGAATAGGATTATTTAGGTGTGTGCATCATCTACTTCAACGTCACTTTCCATCAGGTGAGATGTTACGTCGAAAAAAAAATCCGAAAATTTTCAAATAGCGAAAATTTGTTCCGGCAAAATTTCCGAAACTGGAAATATTTGAAAATGGGTAAAATATAATTTTGAAGGCTCATATTATGTTCTACGTTTAGAAATATATATTATAAAATAAACTTGTATAGCTAAGAGCCACCTAAAAAAAACGAGATTTAAAATGATTTCACAATAGCGAAAAAAATCCGCCAACAACCACACCACCACCTTGTTGTTGGCTCCAACGTTTTCGTTCAGTAACTTCCACTTTTGACAGCTGTCAACATCAAATATGGAAAAATAGAGGAAAAGTTTTGGAAAAATATCCGGAAAATATGTTTTGAAAAAAAAACACGACTCGAGACTGACTTTTTCTCGAGACTTTTAAAACTTAAATCAATTAATAAAAAGTATTAAAAATCACCTAAATCATCACTTATTTCTTATTCTGACTACATGTACGTGGCAACACCGTGGAGTGTAGTTTAGTATAGTAATATACGGGTAATGAAGAACGGTAGTACCATAACGAAGTCCTCTACATCAGAAACTGTACTAAACACCCTTTGTCTCTTAAGTACACTCTACAAAACTTAAAAAATAGCTTTCATAAATAATTTTCCATTTTATCATATCTGTGTTAATAAAGAACTTAATTAAAATATTATGTTTTGATTGCCTAAATGCGTAGTCTATAAGTATCGAAACCTACCTACTAAAGTCTTGAAAGTTTCGATTTTCCCATGATATTCGAGATTGCACCGAGTGTCGATATTTTTATCTCGGTACGCAAAAATGCAGCGACATTGAAAGCCCTACTCCCTGGTAAGACTAGGGTACGGCGGGGGTCCGGCCCAAGCCCTCCGCCAGTAAGCTATTACTTTAATATAGTAGTGTACTAAGAAGAAAAGTTTTATTATCCGACCGCGTCACAAGTAGCCGCTATTAAATTCTCAACCATGTGCGGTGTTAGGGCACGCAAGACACAATGTGAGGTGAGCCATCGTTTGAATCGCACAACACAAGCATTCAAAGTTAGAACCATCGGAAAATCTTCACCTAAAAAAATTGTTCTTAACTCCGGTCAACATAACTCCGAAGCCTATTTAAAGACTACCGTATCGGCCGCGGCAAATCCTGTCTAAAAGGACGACTCTCAGAAAGGGGACAAATGTAGATGGTGACTCATTCGCACTAAAAGCTACACTAGCCTGAGCTGGCTCAATACTCATAGGATCGACACCTTTGAAGAAACCTTTTCAGCTCCTCAGTCTCTTGCATTGTGAAGTGATCATACATAGAGTGCCGAGTAGTCGTTAGCACAGACATATATCTAGATAGACGCCGCAAGTACAGCGATTTGTATGAAAACCAAGCGTGTCACATTTGTTGCACCAACTATGACGTCACAAGAACTATATAGTCATAGGTCTCACTATATTCGGACATTCGAAAAGCAACGTGCTGCAAAAATTATCGAAATTACAGATCCTACTGATAATAGATATTACAAAACAGAAAAAAAACGAAACGTTGCTAAACGTTATAACAAAAAAGTGATAGAATATTTTTATAAGTAATATTGCTAAGGTCATAATAATTTTCGGCCGTTCGTTATCAAAATCCATCAGAATCGAGAACAGTGTTCCCTAACGTATAACATCACTAAATGTTAAATTTGATCCAAAAAATGTACAAGCGGCTGTACCACGAAATCGAATGCATTATTCAAAAGTGCGTTCGTTCGATATTAATGCCGTATTAACAAAGGATCACAAATATATCGCACCAAGTAAAAGCCGCAATGTATTACAAATAATAAAAAAGGCATACCCTCGTTTGCTTATTTGTATTCTCAAAAT